GGGCAAGTGCTGTACCACTGTTATATCCAGCCCCTGCTGCATTTAAATGGATATCTTGGGGCTCAGCATGTGGCCTCCAACAGTGGCACCAAGGAACTTGCTGAGGGAGTTCATGGGGACTACACCTGTGATGGTGCCACACCCAAATAGTATCTACTGCCTCCAATAGTGTGGCCTACATTTATGGGCAAGTATCAGCAGGTCCCCCATGGTTTAAGGAGGACAGTGCGGGGAGCAAGTCACTGCTTACCTTGTCTGCCCTGTCCCTCTCAACTCCGAATTTGCCCCCAAAGCCTTTGGCAGCATCAGTCTGCGAAGAGTGCTTCTCCACCTCAGCAACATACTCATGGCCCACGGCACTCTGAGAACAATCAAGAATGGAAGGATGAAATGGTCAAAATGACCTTGAAACCATAGATACAGGGATGCAATATCCATTGCATGTCAGAACACCAGAAAGTCCACGCTGGATCAGTCCTGCAGCCTCTGAGAGCGGTGCTGAGGAGTACCGGATGAGGGCAGGGGGCCTTTCCTGGCCTTGCACATCCCTGATTCTTCCCTGTACCACCAGGGAGCCATCACCTAGAAGACTCCTGGAGGCTGGGCAGGGAGCCAGAGGACAGAGCTGGGTAGGAGGAGCAGTGTTCAAACCAGAAACAAAAAGATCTAAAACAAGGGCCTTGTGCATCAAAACAATAATGAAGTAAATTCTTAACTTTTCTCCAACATTTAATGTGTAATATATGTACAAAAAGATCACTAAATATACAGTAAAGAAACAATAAAAGAAGTTGAACAAAGACATAATATATAGACATTTAAAATAAATAAATGATTCTAAAACCTATTTTCCCCTTCTCCTCTTGTGCACACTTGTGGGAGACCAACCTCCCACGTGATTGAGTTAACTCCCCTATTGGGTGATGTGGCGTCAGGCACCCATGCTGCTAGACTGTCCCGCTCTTCTAGGGTTCGAGTGACTGTCTTTGTGCCCAGGCTGTGTCTTCCTACAGCCCCATGGGTGGAGCTATGCTCACTTCTTCTTTTGTAATATAACCCCTGGCCCTGTTTAGGATAGAATCTTCCATGGAAGTGCCTGTGTGTGTCCCCTTCTCTTACTGTGTCCTTGGGTGTGGCCTACCCAGATGTCAGTTAACCTGCTGACAGTGGACATCATGAAGATAGACTCAGCCCCCTGAAATCTGACCCCTGGCCTCATTTGAATAGCTTCTCCTCAATAAAAGGGGTCAGCACATGCTCTCTCTCTTTCCCTGTGGACCCTTAAGTTCAGAGGAGCCATCACAGCAACCCCAAAGAAAAAGGTATTTGTGTCTCTTGTGTGGTTATTTTGTGCAGCCCAATTAGCCCAGTTTAACTGGAGTGAACCCTGTGTGTTTTAGTCGCGAACAGAAACCCGGCACACCCTCTCTTGTTGATGCAGGAGTGACAGTGTGCCTCTGGCTGCCATTCTAATATTTGGCCTCTATTTTCCACTATCTATATCTTAGGTGTTAAGATAAGGAAAAAAAATGATAAAAATTACATGCAGACATTCTATTTTTTAAAGCCTAAGTGGGAACTGTACTTTTGAACAAATTTAAACCATGAAACCAACAAATTAGTCTATTTTATTTTATTTTTTTAAAAACAAATCTCTCCCTTGCAACTCACCTTGTCCATTCGGTCTCTTTCCACTCCAAACCGACCACCATAGCCATGGGACGCTTTGGGCCCTGATTCCATTTCTTTTTTCTTGAGAACATCATGCTCCTCCGACACTTTGCTCCTCAGCTGGTGAATGCTGGAAGCAACCACATGATCGAGATTCACCCAGCATAGGGAGATCAGTGAACCCATCCTCCCAGAAAAGTGGAAATCCTGAGGTCTGTTTATTTGTATCAATGACCCGAGTCCTCAAAATATGCTAGTGATGGGTCTGGCAGTAAGAGATCAGTCTGACCTGTGCACAATACCCTGATTTAAACTCTCAGAAGCTCTCAGACTATTTCCTATAGTCTGTTATTTTGCTTATTAAAATAAGCTTCTGATCTTTAGTATCATTTTTTTTCATGTTCTTGAGCCTTAGATGATGATGGTGTCTATATTGTAATAACTGAGATGTCATCTTCCTCTCTGATTGGACCTACTTTCTGTCAATTAAGTGATCCATCTCAAGAAGCATAAAAATATTCATTGAAACATTGTGCACAACAGCAAAACAGCAAGAAAGTACATGACCAATAACTAAAAAATAGTTTAGAAAATTGAAACGTTAAGCTTCAATAGCATACTGGAAATCATTAAAAATGGTGCTTATAAAAGTGCAGCATTGGGTAAATTTATTTATACATTAGTATTGTGTGAATGTTTTTGTCAAGAATCAACATCTTCTGACCCTCTTCTCCCCACACCAGATAATTCCTGAGAAAACTAATACTAAACAAAAAAAAATAATAATATCCATTTATCCTTAACTGTTATAATAGTTTAGGGTTCAAATGATAGATTTGGGACATCCAGGGATTTGCCCCATCCCTAAGAGCAAGTGACATCCAGGGAGCCATCCTGTCTCTCCCTGAACACTCACTTCCATCTTTATAATGAAGGTGGCTGCAACACTTCAGAGGGTGGACATTCACCTTGGCCAATGGGTTTGGCCTGAGCATATGAAGCCATAGATCAGCACCAGCACCCTTAAGTGACAACAAGGATAATATATACTTGGGGCACATACAGGAACCCCTGGGGATTTTTAGAAACATTTGGGCAAGAGAACTCTAGGTAAGAAATTTGACCTTCTGCAGCAAGCAATGAAGATTTGAGGTATTGAGAGTGATGTCCCTGGTCCTTCACAAGCTCAGGACAAGAAGACACATTGGTTATAGGCAGAATGGCCATCTCACCGTGGAAATGCTCTTCTTTCATGGAAGAATAGATCCATCTGGTGGCCTTGTGGGATAATCCAGTGAAGGTCTTTTTAAAAAGCCTTTTCAGCTTTAGCCACAGTTAATTTTAGAAAGCTGGCTATAAACCAGATGAAATTAATCTAAGTGCTGGAAGAACCCTCTGTTCCCATGCCTCCTTTAAACCCTCTGGCAGCGTGACGGCAGAGGTCCCATGTTACTAGTTCAACAACACCAATGCTTTAGAACCTACTGTGTCAGAAAAGCTGTGGGATCCAAGAACAATTAAATCACCCTCCTGTGCTTCCCAACTGAAAGACTCAGATGAAGAATGAAGACAATGGGGCCAAACATTGCTTTCAATTAAGAAATATCCACTACGTTTTAATGAGCTTAGTGATTATTAAGAAGATCATAACTACATTACGTTGAAACAAGTTTTAAAAAAGGGATTAGAAAAATGATATTCAGAAACACCCACTTAATAGAAGACAGAGGCTAGCCAGGAGATTATGCCAATCAACAGATCATATCATTTGAATGAAAATATGACCAGAGGAAAATAACAACTTTTTATTAACCTATTTAGGATATAGCTGAATCCATTCTGAATAGGTCTTGATATAGCATTCCTTTATTCAATGATTATTAATTAAACAATTTTTGAGTGTGAGGTGCTGTTAGGTTCTGAGGACACAAAGATGATTAACGTATGGAAATACTGGGTCAGGTGCAAGAGTAGAGAGGAAAAATTATAATTCAATAACTCAATATGCCAAGTACATCTAAGAAACTTTTGACACACTCTCAGATATCCATTTAAAAATTTCAACTATGTTACATTAATAAAGCAATGAAGTTCATGGGAACCAAGCAAAATCCAGGACTTCAAAGATGAACTAAGAGAAAGAACAGAGCTTTGTTTTTTGGTTTTTTTTTAAACAAAATTAAAAGCACAAAGGTGAGTGGTTCTGTATGTATACTATGTTACTATATATTCTGTGATCATGTATGAAGGAATATCCATAAACAAAAATCTACTAGAACTATTAAATGACTTTGGCCATATCACAGGATACAAGGTAACTATGTCAAAATCAAGTTATTTCTTGGGCTGGGGATGTGGCTCAAGCGGTAGCACGCTTGCCTGGCATGCGTGCAGCCTGGGTCGATCCTCAGCACCACATACAAACAAAGATGTTGTGCCCATCAAAAACTAAAAAAAAAAAAAAAATAAATATTAAAATTCTCTCTTTCTCTCTCTCTTAAAAAAAATCAAGTTATTTCTATATACTAGCCATGGACATTTGGAAATTCAAAGCTAAAAATAAATATAATTATAGCCACATGAAATAATATGAAATATTTTAGGATAAATTTAAGAAGAAAGCGGGGCACAGTGGCACACACCAGTAATCCCAGAGACTCAGGAGGCTGACGCAGGAGGATTACAAATTCAAGGCCAACCTCAGCAATTTAGTGAGGCCCTAAGCAACCTAGCAAGACACTGTCTCCACAATCAATCAATCAATCAATAAGGCCTGAGATGTATTTCAGTGATAAAGTGCCTCTGGTTCAATCCCTAGAACAACAACAACAACAAAATTCCGCCCACAGAGTCAGACTGAGCTGAATTCAAATTATTATTTGTACATCCTTGGACAAATTATTAAACATCTAAACCTCTCTATTTACTTCTCTGTGAAATCAGGATAACAGCATGATCTATGATATAGTGTTGTTTGGGAAACGCATTTTGCGCGACACGTAACAGTTAATAAGTGTTGCCATGATTCTTAGGCCATAGCTGTGGCTCTTCATAGCATTCCTGTGAGGTAAACAGGGATGGTCTATTATTCCCAGTCACAAGGGGGAATAGAGACAGAGGGGTGACATAATTCTCTTCAATGCCCTGAGTCCCTTGGTAGCAGAGCAGGGAACAGTCCCTAGATCTTCAGGCTGCTTGTTTAGTACTCTTGGTACCACATCATTCTACGTTGCCAGTTGGAATAAAATGTCAGGGCATGACAGGGCCCCGCCCCGCGCAGCGCGCGACGCCGCCTCAGGCCCGGCTCCGGCGCCCTATTTGGTCATTCAGGGTACAGGAGGCGGCCGTGGAGTTGTGCGCGGCGGAAGGGGACGCGGGGCGGGCTCGGGTGCGCAGAAGAAACGCTTTCTCCGCTACCTCGGCTCCCGGCACGTTTGGGACCCACGAGGCCGCCGCATCCTGCTTTGGAACAATGGGACTCGGCGCGCGAGGTGTTCGGGCCGCGCTGCTCCTGGGGGTGCTGCAGGTGCTGGCGCTGCCGGGGGCCGCCGCGGACAGCTCAGCTCCGGCGGAGTCTCCCAGTGTGCTTCTGCAGAACTCCAGTGCTAACTCCCTAGCAGATAGTATGCATAACAACTATACATCTGAATCTAACAGCAGCACCACTGTGAAACCATCACCAACTTCAGTTTCCTTGGCCTCAAAAAATGTGACATATGTCACCATCAAACCAGTAATGACTTCTAAAATGGCAACACCAGGGTTCTCAACAAATACGACTTCCACTACTTTAAAGTCAACATCCAAAGCAACAAGTGTTTCACAGAACGTATCCCAGATGTCAACATCTATGACAACCACAACTCAAAATAGTTTAGCGACATCATTAACAATCACAGCAACCATTCATTTTAATGAAAAATCAAAATTTGACACTGGCAGCTTTGTTGGTGGTATTGTGTTAACACTGAGCGTTTTATCTGTTCTTTACATTGGTTGCAAAATCTATTATTCAAGAAGAGGCATCCGATATAGAACAATGTAAGTTTTGATTGGCTATTTCTTCACATCTCTATTATGACAGATTGCCAGTCAGGCCAATGTTCATCTCAAGGATAGATTTATATTTTGTTACCTCCCTCTGCCCAAAGTAAATTGTTAACATAAAGCCTGCAATTACACTTGTAAATGAAAGCAGATGCATGTACCTATTAACTTAATTGTATCTTATTTTAACCAAAGTTTAGCCAATGATTTTTACTTTCTTCCTCCCCATGTCTCCTTCCTCTACTAGTCTCCCTTCTATTTTCATGTGATTCTTCATTTTTTGACACTAGGTATGATTTCATATAAAAGCAAATCAGACTTCTTGGTACATTAAAGAGGAATTACTTTGCTGGGTGCAGTGGCTCACCCCTATAATCCCAGCTACTTGGGAGACTGAGGTAGGAGGATTGCAAGTTCGAGGCCACCTGGGCAACTTGGAGAGGCTCCTTCTCAAAATAATAAGAGCTGGAATAGAGCTCAGTGGTAGAGCACCCCTGGGTTTAGTTCCCGATACCAAAAAAAAAAAAAAAAGTATTTTTACAAATGTATCTATTGATACTAAATGAATAGATGGAAAGTTTCTGAAACTTTCAGTTCATTGACAAAAGTGAATGTCATTTTGTAAATGAAAGTGGGATCTAGCAAATTCTGTTACTTAAAAATATTAAATTATTTTTAAATATTTAAATAAAAAATGACATGGTCAACATATCAAACTCAAAAAAAAAAAAAAAATGTCAGGGCATGACAAAGTGGACAGTGCTCCCGAGGCAGTGAGGATGGGACCTGACAACCAGACAGGTCTCAGGAAGCACCAGGAGCTGTGTCTGGTGTCATGCTGCTCAGGGTGCAGTGCACAAGCCCAACCACTTCTCTTCCACCATGAAATAAGAATAAAAATTGGGAGTATGTATTTAGAACCTTTCATAGCAATTTAACATAGCAATCAGATGTGTCAAATCTAAAAATTAAAATTGTGCTTTTTTCGAGGCTGGGGTTGTGGCTCAGCGGTAGAGCGCTCACCTAGCAGGCGTGGGGCCCTGTGTTCGATCCTCAGCACTACATAAAAATAAATGAATGGAATAAAGGTATTGTATCCAACTACAGCTAAAAACATATTTTAAAAATTGTACTTTTTTTTTCATGTCATTTTTTTCATTTTACAAAAATATCAGTCTGTGACAAATTTGAAAACAAGAGCAGACTAAAACCTGGTTCTTTCCCAAAGATAGTCTAAGAAACTCTTGTCTGGGAGTAGTGAGAATCCTTAGTGGTCAAGAGAAGAGACACCAAAATAGATTAGTGGGCAAGAGTGGAGAGGAAGGTGGAAAGGGCCACAGACTTTGGAAATCAGGCAGTTTCTTTATACAAAAGTTGGGGGACAGAGAGGAGCATTTGAGCAATTTTCTGAATTACCAAACCACTTCTTAAACTAAAGTTATTGAAGACAGACCTAAAAAGAAACACCGTGGCGTGGGAGATGGTGGTGAGATAGTGAGAACCAGCCACTTCCTCTTCCTGCTTTGAGTCATGTAAGCGCACAGTTACTCTTGGACTGAACCCCCCAAATCCCCCAGCTCCAAAGGCCTCAGTGATTCCCATCAGACAGTGAAGGTAGGCTTAGAGCACATAAGCCACAGAGAACCAGAGGGTTAGACACTGTATACTGGAATGTCCTCTAGAGGTCTTTTTTTGTCCAAATGAGAAAACTGACTATCAGAGAGGATAAGAGAGAGTCACCAGGCCTGTTACCAACAAAGATCAGGCTTTTGTAACTTGGTAGCCTGGATAAATGGGAGGTGAGTAAGTTTTTGTGGAAATATATCTAACATTTATTGCATTAGGTATAGATCCAGCTAGGTTAACAAGACATATGCATGGTTACCACATTGTATGACTTCAGTGGACGTCAGACAAAGTGATGTATTCAGTGAAGCTACAACTGCTTCCAGAATTGCCTGGTTTGTTTAAGAATGACATTCATTATAGCTTTGTAATTCAAAGCTATAATGTCTGCTTGTACAATCATGCACAGTACGGAATATTCTCAAACCACATAAACAAGTGCCAAGTTTTCTTAGTGTATTGCTTGAGTAACAAGGTCATCCACTGACATTTTTTGTTTTTCAGTGCTGGGAATTGAACCCTGGGCCTTGTGGATGCTAGACAAATGTTCTACCCACTCACACTTTTCTAAATCTAGGGGAAATGAGATTAAAACATTGCTACTAGATTGGGGGGGGATTAAAATGGAGCTGACAAAATTAATTTTGCCATTTTGTATGTAGTCGTTGGTTCTTTTTATTGTTGCTCTTGTTATGCTCTTTGTTGTGTTTACTTTGCCACTGGCCTTTGACACTCTATTCCTACCCAAAGCAGACAGTCCTGGTTAGATGGATCTGAATAATCCATGAAGGGAGGGGCTCTCTCAATCCTAATACACAATACATCCCACAGGAGCCTCTGGATATGTTCCCACGTTCCTTCTCTCTTCTGGTATCTTAATAGTAAAAGTGAATATTAGGCTATCACAGTCCGTAAAAGGTCATTGCTAAAATAGTTTTAATCATTACGTTTTTCCTATCACTCTTCTTTGTGTTACTAAACATGAGGCTTCTCACTTGTGCCAGGTAGACAAGTACAAATGTGTATTTTAAGTTATTTGGGCCAACCCTGGAAGCTCATATTGTCTTTTTAAATTTATTCTGAATTCTTCACCTTGATTTTACTGACTCCTTCTTAGCCCATCTGAACTCACCCTCTATTCTAAGTACACATTTATATTTATGTGAAGAGACAGATTGGTGATAACTAGATACCTAATGGGTAGTAGGAGGTAGAGAGACACTTCCTCTCTGAATCCCTGATGCCTGACTGAAGGAAGGCCGTTACTACAACAGACTCCCCTGGAGGAAGTAGCAGGGTCTTAGGTATAAAAGACTAATTATAAGGTCAGGGGGACAAGAGGAAAGAAATGAAATACACAATGACACATATAGAGACACACAAAGAATCTACAAAAAAAGGAAAAAACAAAAAAACTCCAAAAAACCCAAATATACACAGACATAAACTGGAGCAGTGGTGCACGACGGTAATCCCAGCTATTGGGAAGCTGATGGAGGAGGATCACAAGTTCCAAGACCAGCCTTGGACACATAGCAAGAACCTGTCTCAAAATTAAAATTTTAAAAAAGGGTTGGAATGTAGGTCAGTGGCAGAGCTCTTGCCTAAAATATGCAAAGCCCTGGGTTCTAATCCCCACTACTACAAAAAATAAATAAGCATTAACAACAACAACAAAAAAAACCACATACACAGACATGAACTATTTTTTTTCCCTCCCACATATTCCCCAGAGTTACTGAGATTGCTTTGAGCTCTTCACAAAATCCCCTTCCCTCTCCCAGTCCATTTGGCACCTACTTGATGTGCTCTTTGCGTCCAGAGCCCTCGATGGTCTTGGCTCCCCATCGTTGCTCCTTCTCAGAGATGTCATTCTACAAAAGAGCATTCAACAGAAGTGTTGGTGGGAAATGTGCCATGCCAAGAGGAGACACACCCACACTGCTACAAAGACCTCCCAGTTCCCTGTATCCGCTGCCTTCTTCGGTCAGGGTATCCCTACTACGTCTGGCCCCATGTAAAATTTAAACTGTTGAGTTTTGAAACCTTTATTCTTACTCTGGCTCCTTTGCCTGTTCTTCTTCAAGTCTCCTACAACATTTCAACCCACCTGTATCACACGGTTCTAACCCAAATCCTGGATCCTAGGCCAAAGGAGACTAGGTCTACCTGCTCCTCAACTTTAGCTTGGCCCATCAACCACACTGCAAAACCCATTCACACCTGTCTCCTTCCACCCTTCACACCAGCTATCAAACATGCCCTACTCATCCACCTGCTGTTCCACTGATCCTTCCCACTGTGAGGACTCAGTCCCACATCGTCCTTTTCTAAGTCTTCTCAAAGGTCGGAGAGTGGCTCACATGCATGCTCATCCCTCACCCTCTTAATCGTTCAAGAAAAACTATTTTCAAACTCACCACAAAGTCAGGGTCTGTGTCCCAGTCATCACCCTGGGTCTCCACGGAAACAGATACATCATGACCCACTACAGACTTCCACATCTGAAGGTGACAGAAAATGGGAATAATTGAGGATAAAAAAGAATTAGGAGAAGGAAAGACAAAAAGTCAATATTAAATAGCCCACCAACCTAGGTGCCCTAAACAGATGAATGGATAAAGAAAATGTGGTATATATACACAATGAAATATTACTCAGCCATAAAGAAGAATGAAATTATGGCATTTGCCAGTAAGAGGATGGAATTGGAGACAATCATGATGAGTGAAATAAGCCAGTCCCCCAAAAATCAAAGGCAGAGGGGCTGGGATTGTGGCTCAGTGGTAGAGTGCTCGCCTAGCACAGGTGGGACCCGGGTTCGATCCACAGTACCACATAAAAAATAAAGGCATTGTGTTGTGTCCATCTACACCTAAAAAATAAGTATTTTTTTTAAAAAAAATTTTAAAAATCAAAGGCAGAGTGTTCTCTCTAATATGTGGCTGCTAACTTACAACAAGGGAGGGGAAGACTAGAAGTTCATTGGACTAGAAAAAGGGGAATGAAAGGATGGGAGGGGGAATGGGAATAGAAAAGACAATAGAATGAATTGGGCATATCTTTCCTATCCTTATACACAGACCTAAGCTGGAGCTTATGTCTTACATGACCAGTGTAACTCAGCATCATATATTAACCACAATAATGGGGATCCTAGTTGGAACAAGGTATACTTATTCTATGTATGTATAATATGTCAAAAAATACTCTACTGTCATGTATATCTAGAAAGAACAAATTAAAAAAAAATTTTAAAAAGCCCAATGTTGGAGCTGGGGTTGTGTGGCTCAGCAGTAGAGCGCTCACCTAGGCTCTGGGTTTAATAAAAATAAAATAAAGGTATTATGTCCAACTAGAACTAAAAAAATAAACATTTTTAAAAAA